ACATAGATGATTGCAGCAGGACAAGAGGAATGCGCAAGCAAAAGTGACGCATCAGATCAGAGGAAGAAGAGAGGGAATCAAAACATTCTGGTTTACAATTATTTTGATTGCGCAAGATAAATCTGCATTAAGGGTTACGTAAGATCGCATGATTAAATTGAATGACGCAGTTTAGACTTACAGGGATATTTTTAAGAAAGAGAGATCAAGTCCCCAAAATAAATAAAAAATAAAAGAGGTTATAGCCAATTACAATTAGAAGTTTATTTTTATATTTCTTATCTTACACATTCAAACACACATTACCCCTTCAAAAAGAAAAAGTCGGAGTGATAGAGAAGCATTTTTGAAAGAAAAAGCATTAGAGCAACAAAATATGAAAAATATAACTTTCAAAATACAAAACATAAAATCACCTTTTGAACAATATAAAAAATTATAATCCGTAAAATTTTGAGTTCAATAATAATTTTAAACACTATAATATTATGTTAAAACAATTGCATATTTTTCATGTCCTATTAAGATTTGAGTCCAATCTGTAAAAAGTTCTTGTTTCTGGAACATTCACATCACAAATTTAATGCTTCAGGGAAAGATTTCCAAAACTTTTTACACACAGTATCACATATCTATGTATATATATGTAATAATAAAAGCAAAGGAAATGACGGAACACTGTAGATGCGTTCCTCTCTATTCTAAAATCGTAATAACTTCTTTGCATTGCGTCATTTCTAGATCACTCTATGATCGGCGCAGCTCTGATGACGTAATCATTGGGAACTGAAACTGTCCTTGTAAACCAAAACTTTTCTCCTCGCGTGCCTCCATCTTGCATAACTACGCACTTCAGCTTTTGCTCTCTACTGTGCAAAGATGTAATTTCGCTGGCTTGCTCTATCTCAGCAATATCAAAAATGTAAATTTTCTATGGAAAGGCACGACTAGAGTGCCAAGTGATTGTGGCCACAAATATCAATTGGAAATAAAAATGGAATTAAAACTGCCTCGACTGCCAAGTTCTTTAAATACTACGCAATCAAAATTCTTCTTCAATATGGATCTAATCACGCATCTACAGTGTTCCGTCATTTCCTTTGCTTTTATTATTACATATATACATATATTTATAACTTTAAAGAAATAAAAATTAAGAACACAACAAATTTTCATCCTAAATATCCTTCTCTCTTCTATTAAGCTGTAGATATTATTGCGGTTTCCAAAGCTATGAATCATAACAAATATATTATGAGTTCGACTTGATTCGAGTCAGAGATCTTCCACGCAACAGCCTAGCATGTTCTCTCACTTCATGTATACTTTTATTTACGAATCTACATATAGATACATATATAGTAGTTCAACGAAAAAGCTAGAAAAAAATGAAATTAGATAGAAATAGCGAGAATAAAAGAATTGTTCAAATCCTAGTTACATGAAGTTAAATTTCATTTCCTTGAAGACAATCAAGCGACCTATTATCTCGTCTTTCGATAAAGTAACTTCAACACAGAAGCAAGTTTAAAATGATCCTTGTTATTAGTTCGTCAGTCCAACCGTTATACAACTTGTCAATAATACAAATCAACGTCCGAAACTTGAAAGAATAACAGAAACAAAGCATAAAATTCTGATAAATTTCCAGTTCCAGCAAGAAATCACAGATAGCAAGCCAATTGAAGGAATTCAGACGCTGGAGGAGTAGTAGCCAGATGGGCAGAGTTACCTACCATAAGCTCTCTATGAAACCCAAAACTTTGTGCTTTAAATACGTCAACTAATTTGCATCCTGGTGGAAACCTACGAGCGTAGAAGTAATGGTGAATTTAAAAGGTAAAACATAAGTGGGTAAATTAAGCATAAGACGCTGTAGATCTCTATATTTATTTTCTTTAGCATTAGTTTGGAATCTATAACAATCTATAGCATATCACTAAACCTATCGCCACAAAATATGTTAGATAAATTTAGTACAACCACTCATGATATTTTCCTGATCGCTTGATATATCTCAATTAAACTACCCTCAGAATAGAATAATGAAGACCTACACATCAATCTGATGTCCTTCGGAATGCGAAACCTTAATCATGACTATACTAAAACAGCTTGCTAGCTTTTAAAGATAAATCAAGCTCATTTCTAACGTTATACCACAGGCCTAAAGTGCACTTTGTAATTTAAACTGCAACGCTTTGCTGGAGCTCTCGGCGAACGGAATTCTAATCATGTACATCTACGTGATACAGATCTTCAATTTGAATGAATTTGTGATGGTGGAAGCTAAGCACGTGCCTGTGATCAATCTCAACGTCACTTTAGTGTGATGGCATGCTATTACCAATTAATATTACAATGCATACTCTCTTATGTCTGCTGTACATTAAGTCCCAGGTTTGTTAACTCAGTATCGAGCTTCTGGTGGTTGTTGAGGCGTCACAGCATTTAACTTTTCAAATCTCGATAAACTAATAAAAAGAGGCTACGTTCTAAAGGAAAATTTCAAGTTTATTTCCTGCTGTTATTATAAAAATATCTATATTAATACTTAACAGTAAACATGCAAAATAAATCATATCCTTTACATAAACACTCATATTATATATTAAAAATGCGTTTTGTAATTATAGATTGTAATATGATTGCGATGTTTATATGTCATAATTCATGATCATATATTACGGCATTTTTAAAATTAACATTAATAGTTTTAAAGAATAACTTTGCCTAATAAAAGTTATATAGCATTACGTGAATAGATATACTAATGGTCTCTAATGACCAAATAACTGGTCTATTGCATTGGTTGACAGAAAATGTTAAAACATTTCATACTTTTCTTTAGAAACTCCCTTTATTCCGTAAGAAAACGAGCCTAATGCCAATCTCTTTGGATATTTGTAACAATTTATTTAAAGTCATTGATTTTTAACTATAATATTCTTTCATACTCTTATCTCCATCTCAAAGTTATACTATGCGTTAGAAATTTCTAGTTCAAAGTTAAAAGAACTGTTAACCGAAACAATTTATGCCATAAGTAAAATGCGTCGCGCAAGGATATGAACATACGTAAAAAAATTAAGTCCTGCTTCATTAAAATGTATCATACTTCTGCTTATGAACAAAAAGACTGAATTATGAAACAAAATTTTAGGCTGTATGTAAAACTTAATTAAAGTACAATCATATAAAAGTATACAACACAGAAGCTTCAGTGTGGGTTGTGTAAAACTCACGTGGGATATTATTAACCTAAAGGGATAATTTGCCTCGAAGAGCTATTAATTTCTTTTTAGCATTTTGTGTTGGTTCACTGTAAATGGTGCTTCACTTTTGAAATTGTTACCACTAAATATTAGAAACTTGCATTTTATTTAAAGAAACTAAATAATGAAGAACCTGCATATATGTACGTATATTTCTCGCCCTATGAAAAAGCAGAGATACATAGAACCATCAAATTTTGAATAACGTAGTCCTTCACTCGAATATGGGCATCTGGAAGCCCAAATCTGTATTTTTTTATTATCCTTTAACGATGCTTTTGCATATTTTATATACCCTTAACGAATTTTTGATTAACTAACTCCACGATTTCAAAGGGAGCAATAGCAATACTATACCGAAAAAATAAAAAAAAATTTCTCCAGCGCGCCACACTGCGTATCGGAATTTTAAATATATGCTCTTTTTGATTTTTTGTGATATTGTTTTAGAAATTATTTTTATGGTTTAAGTGCGAAGAACATAGCATTTGATAAATAAGGGTAACACACAAAGCGTTAAGAAGACGCCGCTTTGGGCGTGTTATTAAATCGGGAAGCTTCCATATTTTTAATATACTTTTGTGATTACTAATTTTTCCTCTGCAAGAAAACTCATCTCCTGTGAATACTAATAATGCATATCATTTATATGAAAGATAAGGGTAGACAATAATGATTTTTTAATGCGTACATGTATAACAATACTTAAACTTTTATTTTCGGATCGAAACTGCTTTGCTAAATATATGCAATATGTTTTGTAAGGTATTTCTATTTATAAATTTCTCAAGTGAAACAGACCAAGTACAATTTATAGAAATTATATTTTTACTTAGCGAAACATTCCGTCTGGTTAATAAAGGTTGCAAATGAAACCTTGAGAAACAACGACAGAGACACTTTAGGCAAAACAAGCAAAAGAATGATTGCATCTGTTTCATGACTCCATTTTTAAAGGAGTCACACAGAAAATTTATAAATACCCCTAATTACAACACTCACAGAACATGCACTTGATTCTGAAGTTGGTACAGATCGCAAATTTGTTCTAAATTTTTGACTGGCATATATTAAACAACACAGAAATTTTAAATTTTAATTTTCGTCAATTAACTAGTACTTTATTACTAAACAGAAATTTATCTTAAAGTTACATTGATAGATTAAATACCAGCAACTAAATTTTAAGTGATTAAGCTTAATGTGCATATCTGTATTATCTCAAAAAAAAATTTTTAACTGAATAGTTATTCTCAGCAGTGTACCATATCCCAACACAATATTTTTGCATCAATGAAGAGAATTCGTTTGGTATACTTCGAAATCTTTACTCTGAAATATTAATGAAATAAAATATTTTTGGATGTGTTCCAAGGAAAAACGTATTTCCTTTTTTAATGCTGCAAACTGCGTTTCTTAAACTCAACTCTTCGTATGTGACGATGGCGAAAACTATAAATAAAGTATGGATGCATTTACTATCGCAAAATGAAAGACTGTCAAGATATTTAAACAAGGAACCGATGGAATGGAAATTCCAAAGTCATAAATGTTCCACATGTCCCAATTTTCTGCAAAGAAATCTTATTCCAAACCACTTCTTTTCCTTTTTCCCCCCTTAGAAATTGCGCACACATTTCGCAATATCCCCAAATCTGTTCAATAATTCAAAGTTTGAAAGCGATAAAATAAGATATTATGTCAAAAAAATTGCCGACCACTTACGTATATCTTGGTAAGGGATATCCTTGAGCTGCGCAGGGAAGTTCAACTGTATGGCCCACTTCGGCTTCTATTTTTGGTTGGCTGTGAGTAATTCTTGGAGATACATTACTTCGAGCGTCTGAAATAGGAAAAAAAAGTTGAATGAAAATTTCAGGGATGTATGACACATGTAGGTACTCATGTTTCCCAAAGCTTTTTATCTCTTTGGGAATAAAATTTCTTTAAATAAATCATGCAAATTTCTCTTTAAAGTTTGATACTTTCAGATAAAAATTAATACCATGTTAGACGTTCTGTGCATTCGAAAGGAGGTAATAAAAGTCACATTTCATACTCGAACATATGTTGATAAAATATATGCCATTACAAATGGCTGAAAAATATTATCTGTGGTCTCAAGAACTGGTTATCCGGGTAATATTATCATCAAAATATAAAATCAGTGACTGTAATACCCGAACAGTTGTAAGCAATCAGAAAAACAGCATTGTAAACGGCGTTAAAATCAGCAATACATACTTTCAGAATACCTATAAATATAAATACTTTCAAGAAACTAATGTTATATGATTACATTGAATCATAAAACTTTTCAAAATGACACTGAGAGCAAGCAATATGTAGACACTTCAGCGCAAGAGAGTTGGATTTTGTAAATGTAAATATTAACCATTTGAGATCTGTAGTGGAGAAAAAAAAGTCTAAAGCCCAAAAGAACTGCATACATTTATATGCAGCCAAACACAGAACATACCAGTTTGACATGCAGGCAAGAATAGTAATACTGAGTTTTCTCTAACCGATACGGAAACATTACCAACCAAAGCGACAGTCATAGTTAATTTCGCACATAAATGCCTTCTGCACAGATAAATTTCAAACGAAAATCATATTACTCAAATTTAAAAGTTAAAAATGGCAAAAAAGAGGAAGAATTACTACTAGAAAATTCTTTTCTGTTCATATTAAATCTTAATTTCTTTTCCGTAGAGATTATATTATATTAATGCTATTTTTTTATAAACGAATAAACGTTATTCCTTAATTAAAGGTAGCTTAAAAGTTATAATTATTTTAAATATAGAGCTAAATAACACGCTGAAGTTATTTAGCTTTATCTTTTAAATGAATGTCACAGAAATCGAATTGTTTCAAATAAACAATTATTAAAATTAGAAAAAACAGCAAACTTAATCTGGCATAGATTTCAAATAAAACTGCAACAATTTTGATAAATGCTTCTTTCTTCTTTTTGGACAGAAGATTTGTATCTTCTTTTCTTTACACTTTTTAGTTGGACAACTTTGTCAGTGTGGTGTGATGACAGTTAAACATACAGTTACATTTAATATTAAACCATCCATTTCGAGTCTTAACTAAAAGGGAAAGAACGCCTTCTCGAAAATGTATTATTAATTTTTAAGCTAATAAATGTTGGAAGGTCATTTTTATGCACAAACATACATACGTTTAAGAAGATCTGCACTGATTGATCCCTAAACATCCTCTGGATTTGGTACGCTGTCATTGGATTTGCTATTTAGATGATATATTCGCAATGTTTGATGAAGAATACGAATGAAGAATATTTATGAGAATGTTTATGTTATCGTTTGTTTATCGTAAAACGTTTCCTTTCTCTTTGTCAACCATTGCTAAATCATGCTACTATTCTCAGGCTAAATTATGGTGCCACGCTAAGCAGTAAATGGATTCTTCTTAAAGGCCGTTCACACTAGGGTTTATATGAGCTACCGAGACATCTGGCGTAGCTGACCCTGCTCCCAACCTGTCAAAAAAACGTTTTTCTTCAAAACTAAGCCAGATGTTTTATACAGTCTTTCTCTCTTGTTCCACATAAACTAGAGTAGATCTTAAAATGACCTGTTGTGAATTCTCCCTCAGGGGTGAAGAAAACTACTGACTCAAGAAGAAAGGTGAAAAACAACCCTTTAAAAATAAATTCATAACAGTTAACAGAAAGGCCCAGTCTACATGCATTACAAAGCACCGTCCAACTTGCGGTAAAACTAAAATGTAGAATATAATTTAAGTCAAACCTAAAATAAATAGTGCTAGATAGCATTTAAGTTACGCATAACATGAATACTCACAAAAGCGTAACCGGCATGATGATTAGTCCGATATGGTCAAAAGGTTATCAAAAAAATAACGAAATGTGCGCTTGGCTAGCGAAACACTCTCTGAATAATCTCAGAGATTCACACGTTTAAATAAGCACTTCACTTAATTTTAAATTTACATCGTGGCGAGAGAATGTGAGAGGAAGTTGAGAAGTTTAGAATACGAATCAAACTTAAAATAAATGTGTAATGCAAAATAAGGAAAACCTTACAGTTTAACCTAAACTTAGCGTCTAACGGAGATAGTCGACAATTGGAACAGAGTCTGTTAGTTCATAAACTCCGAAGTACACAGCCATTTATAGATATCATTGTCTCAAAGCTTATTCTTCAGAATCTGTGCTTTCTCACGAAATAAGTTTGAAATCGGCTATCGTGACAAAGCATTTTGCCCCATGTTCATTGATAAAAACCTGAAGAATTATTGGTAATGTTTCAGCTGCACATCTTTAGTGACGGTTCTGGGGCGACTGCGAGAGTCGAGATGAAGTTTACTCACTTTTCTAGAATTCTACGCTGCAGCAATTGGTACTGAGTTTCTCCTTATGACAATAATACTCGTTTCATCGAGCCAACATCCTCAATGTCTGTCTAGAGAGTGAGGGCATTTTTCGTACTGAGGCGGCCGTCATATTCCCCCTTTCGCCGCATTTGATAACAGTGAAAATGCGATTTTCAGTGCGGTTAAATTTTAACCGGGGAGAGTATTTGGGTATGCTATCTGTCCACGCTTAGCTCCTTCAACCAGACTGAAACATTTGGAAAGTACGCTAATGGAGAAAAGACTAGGTTTATCATCTGCCATGGTTTGATACCTCATTGAAAACATAGGCTATTGTAAAATGTGTTTGATGATTCTCGGCGGTCAAACACCCTACTAATGTTTTACTTTTAATGTTACCCACCCTACTAATGTTACCCTACTACTCTTTTTAGCCTTAAATAACATTTTTTAAATTACTAAAATGTAATGATGTTATACAGTCTAAAAATTAAATATATATTATTAATATAAATTACTGAAAAATTTACTATTGACAGAGGCTTTTCACTTTACATTATTGACCAAGAGATTAAAAAATTCTCAACATATCAAAAAGAGCCGCTGGTTTTAGATTATTATACTTCTGTTGTCATTCCTTTCTTTGCATCGATTAGTTATAAAATTGCACGTATTTTACAGGAATTCGATTTTCGGATTGTTTTCTCTTCTGTCAATATAATTCGCACTTCAGTTCTTAAGGACCTCTCCGAATATAAACTTCTTGATACAGTTATTTTATTTCCATTTGTTTAATTTACATTAATCAAACTAAGTCTTAAAATTTCGCGCTAAGGAACATGAGGCATATGTTAGGAGAAACGACACACTTAAATCCTATGTTTACCAACACCGTTGGTCAGAAAATCACATTTTCCTTTTTTTTTTTTTTTTTTTTTTTTTTTTTTTTTTCCAGCCAGAATTATTCAACAAAAACTTCCGTTGGCGAACTAAATTTTCTACAAGCGTTTAACGTTCATAAAAATCTTCCAGTTCTATAGTTTTATAGTTTTATAGTCCAGTTCCAAACTGCCTTTGCTCTCACCTTTTAAGAAAATTATTTCGTAGTTGTTTCCAGTTGTCATCAATAAATGGCACCAAAAGCTTGATTTCCTTTTTCTCATTCTTATCACTTTATTTGATCTTTTCAGTGGATTCTCTTTTGTCATTTGTTCACCCAAACAGAAGCTTCTTCGTTACTTTACCAAGAACAAGGACAAGGGAGGGTTCTATTTCCAGGTTCTTAAGCTTATAGCCTTTATCCCCACATCGTCAAAGAATTATTTTTATCGCCAAAAAAAGGGTTCCGCAAAGAGGTAAAATTTAGTGTCAAAATATTAAATTAACAAAAGAGTAACTGCCTTACACAGTGATAAAAGCTAAAAACACTGAAGGACTTAAATTAGTAATTTTGATGTCGAAAAAGGGGCAGAATCAATTTTGAGGAGGTTACATCATGAATTTTGAAAAATATTTACGTTTCCTTGATCAATGGTCTTGTGGAGTTACCTGACTCTAATGACCGGACCAACCAGCGATGTTATCTTTGTCATGTGCCACCGCGAACTCTGCCTCCGCGATTTACTTTGACAATCTTTTACACAAATTTAAAATTCATTGATACAAGTTAATGTCTCCTCATTTTTTATTATCACCTCTGTGCGCTGATACATGTCTTCGTGCATCGTTAATTCTTCTAAACCAAGCAGTTGTTACTAGGTCAAAACTTTCACATTAATGGCAAAAACTCTTTAGTAGTTGAACCCATTAAACAACATCCCAGGAAGTCCTTCTGCGCATATTTTAGGTTGGATTTTCTTCGTGATGGCACAGACAATATTTTTTCAGAACAAAAGGTATAATTAGCATACGTAGAGATCAAAGACTGTCTTACTTTGTCATTCGCTATAATTTATGTTGCTATTATAATAATATATGAAATATGAATATATATACATATATGTAATATGAAATGCTTATACCAAAATTTACTTAATGAACTGAATCATAAAACAAATAAGATTAAAAATCTGACAGATTTCAGATTTTATATTTCGCCCAAACAGGCGTCTTTTTCATTTAAAGACACATACACGTTTTGAGAGCATTTGGGCAAATGCCGCTTTGGGATAAAATTATGTAAAAACAGCATACGTAAAAACAGAATTTCTGATAGATAGTCTCACGCACTGCAGATAAAAATGTTTTACTTCCTATAATGTTGCCTTGGGTCGCTTTCAAATGGTTGAGTTTTTTAATCAAAAATTTCTTAAAATTTTACAAACATGAAACAGGCAATAAAACAAAATTCCAGATTCCAAATTCGGGCTTCCAGGTGCTCATATTCGAGTGGAGGGCTATGTTATTCAAAATTTGATGAGTCTTGGTACCGTTGTTTTTTTCATAATGCGAGAAACATTCATATGTTCATGCAGATTCTTTATTATTTAATTTCTTTAAATATAATACAAGTCAATAATATCTTGTGGCAACAATTTGAAAAGTGATTCAGACATTTGTTGTGGTTTAACTCAAAATTCCGTTTTGCGGCTAATAGCCCTTCTTGTTTAATAAATCAGAACTAATCATTTGGGCTAATAAATCAGAACCTATTTATATAAAAAATAAAATAAAAATTAATAGAATTAATAGTGCGTAATGTAAAGCTTTTTTAGAAATCTTAAAAATTAGTGTACTAAAATAAATTTCATTTTGGCGGTCTACTGTATAAGATTTATTTTACATAGTATATCAAATTACTTGTTTTAACTGTGAAATACGAATTGGTATGGAATTAAAGAAAAAATATAGAACAATTGGAGATGAATGCTTTTCAAACTGAATTAGTATTATTTTTCCTCATTACAGACGGTTGGAAGTCGGTGAGGCAATTATTTTTTCGAATTACGAATTTGATATAATTAACTTATTCTTTTTTTTAATTAATCGAAGTGAATATTTTGAATGTGTACATTTTCTAGTAGGTCTGATGGAAAATTATTTCAAAGACTGAAGAAGAAGAGAAAGAGATTTAAACGAAAATTAAAGAGAAAAAAAACACTTTAAAAAAAGAAGAGAAAAATAGTGTATATGCATTAGAACTAGGAGGAAAATCATGCGATTGAAATTTTTCTCTCAATTAAAAAATGTAAGGGGTTGCAAACTGGAACATTATAATTGAAATGTTAAAATTCAGATGGTTAAAAAAAGCTAGCACAGTTTTAAGATATGGCTGAAGTCTGGGGTCGAAATGAAAGTTAATTATTAGTTTTTTTATATTATGTCAGATTTATTTTTAATTATTGCAAGGTAAACCACAAAATATTATATATTAAATAATTCATGATACGTAATTTATAAGCGTATTGAAATTCTTCTAAATTTTATATTAGTCAGAAAAATTTGAGATACCAAACTTCCTTAAGTAAAATTTCTTGTTCTCAAGGGAATTCAAGTTCATGAATCTTTACCTATAATTTCTAGAAGAAAGGAAGAAAGTTCTCTACAGGTATTTTTTTAAACTTATTTATTTATTTTTGAAGGGTTCCTGCACCTTTTCACTCTTATATTTTTCTCCATATAGATCATTTTCGATTTCTTCACTTTTAAAGAATGTTTTAACAATTTTTTGTTACCCATTTGTTGCATTTTACTGTAATTAGGAAGTTGAAGATCGTTATTAATTTGCACAGGCAGTTTTATTAATTTTTTTTCATGCTTCACCAAAAGCAACATTATAAATTTCTTGAGCTAGAATCAATACAAATACTCAATCAAACTATTTGTATTGTAGTTTTATGATGAAAAAGCATAATGACGTAATAAATACAATATAAAGAAAGCTTATGCAAATAATTTCAACGTTCATTGTTTTTAGTTTCAACGAAATCTAATTTCTTTTCTAGTCGATAGCTAAAAAATTAACATAAATTAGAATTTGAACTGTAACTTGAATTTGCGGAAACTTTAGAGACCCATTACTTTGACGTACTTTTTTCTCATTATTAAAATATTATTTTTCATAGCATTCCATTCTACGAAAATAATCTCTCGCATTGTATTTTCCAATTCTATAGAAATATTGCAATTCCATTCTAAAAATAGAGAACTGGGACTGGTGTTTACCTGTAACAAAAAGCTTTCCAGCCGCAGTGCTGGGGGCTACTTCTCCAGTCAACCGATTCCTAGTAACACATCGGTAAGTTTTGAAACCATCTTCGATGCTTGCCCCTCTAATGTGCAGTTCGCCTGTCGGGAATATGCTGAATCTTCCACCTGAAAGGTATAAAAAATAACATAGTAAATAAAAATATATGGGACTCAAAAGAATTGAGTTGGACATTTATTTCAATTCCTTTTCTATATAAAAACTCAGATTTAGAATGCCTAGATATCTAGTTCTAAGGCAGTCTTTTGTGTTATGCTTCTCAGAATTAAATTACTATGTTCTATGTTTTTAGAACGGAATTAATTGTGTTTCATTTTATGTAGCTTATAAAAATTCTATCTCCTTGTTTTTAAGTCAGTAGTTTATTTTATTTTAAGACAGTAATAATTTTTAAAATATTCACTGAAAATGTATATTTCATGGTATATTATTTAATTTTCTACATTTTCATACTATTTTCAGAAGTAAAGCAAAAGATAAGATGTATACAAAAACCTGTTACGATTTTTTTCATTTTATATTATGAAATTCAGTATATTTATTGATTAAACCCAAGATTAAATATGTAGTTTCATGAATTTTCATGTTTAGGCACATCAATCATTTCATACAAAATTTAATCTTAAAAGTAGGTATTAAGATTGCAAATACATAATTTAAATAAAGCAAAACAATATATAAGTGAAAAGAAATATCTATAAATTAGAACTTACCTACATATAACTACCAATTTCTAAGAGATATCAAACAGTATTTCAGGGATTAAATTTTAAAGAAATACTCGCATATTGTATCCAAAATAGTTTTAGCAAGTTTGTATTTAGCTAAAGATAAATACCTCCAGGATATTTTGTCGATATCCTCAGTCTCTCAATAATAACTACCTTCTTAGTTTAAAAAACGTGCTAACAACCTTAATCCAACAAGTTAGTGCGAACCAAAGCAAACAAAACGAAATGTTAAACTTATGTCAATAAAAGCATAAGGCTTGCGGAAAGAAGGGAGAAAATACATTAGAAATTTTGACTTGTGGTCCCCAAACATGACTTGTAGTCCAAGCATGACTTGTGGTCCCCCAAAAAGTTTTAGAATGTCTGTTTGGGTGTATGTGCGGAACGATATGATATCAACGAAAACTATTGTATGAAACTTCTCAAAATTTCGATTTTCCGTATTTAAGTTCTTTCTGCATTCATATAAAGAGTTAGCTTTTAGGTTAAACTGGACAACGAGTTGTGGTACTTTACATAAAGTCCGTAAGAGTTTTTGATGGAACAATATGAAGTTGTATTTTACTTGAAGCCAGTAACCGTTTTTAATTAAATATGATATTGATATATAATCCCAAATATTCAAAATTTAATTTTTAAGACGTTTATATCAATGGGAGAAATTTGTTACATTTTCACTTAAACTAATAAATAAGAAATAATACTTTACTCGAAGCTCTGAACATATTTTCGTGCAGGAATATATTTTAAGATAATCCACAAATTTAGTATTTAAAATATATATGTGATTGACAGCAACTTATTACATTTATAAGCATTAAATGTATTTTTATAATTATGCTAAATGTAACAAGAAAAATCTCATTATAAAGAAGAATTATGAAGCATTTAAATGCATAAGCCTCAATACTCAATTTTGTGTCCATTTCATAGTGTCAGATCAGTTTTCAAATCTATAGCCAGATGTTATCGCTATGTCTTACCTTTAAACAAATAATATAGCAAATATAAATAAATAATATAACGAATTAAAAAGTGTAAGGCAACACTTAATATTCTATAGGGCTTAATAAAAGACACTCAGGCTTTGAAGAGTTTGTGATTTTGTTGTTAAGTTTATGTGGCATAAGTGTAAAGATTATCTTCATAATCAACGCACATAATTAATAATGCTTTGATAATTAATAAAATACTATTATCTGTTTTAGTTTCATTTACGACACCAGCGTTATTTATACATCATATGATATAATAAATCTCGAAATAACGCAGTTTAGAAATATTTTTTTAATAGAGAGGGGTAATACACAAATTAAAATTAAGCATTAAGAAGCTATTGATATTTTAAATTATAAGTTATATATTTCGTTTCTTACACACATACAAATACACATTTATAATTATAATATTTATATTAATATTAATGTTTACACCAGCGGTTATCAACCTTTCGACTAACTTCTACCATCTAAACTAAAATTGAAAACTTTTAGAACCACCACTATAAAGTACTATTACCACCACTCTTGAACAAAGCTCAGATCGCATAAATTTACAAGTGTTAAAGAAAAAAACTCAATCAAGCTGTTGGGAAACTCATTTTTTGAATTTAATACTGTAAAGTTCCTTATTTTCGCGAGCTCGTCGTAATCGCGAAAATTTAAGCCTCGCAAAATACTTTTTTTTTTTCCGACCTCAAATATTAATAAAAAATCAGAAATTTTTAACTTACCCAAAATTTAATGATTAATAGCACAGTTACAAGCTTTTTCTTAACAACTTTCTTTCTTATAACTAGTTTTGAATAATATACAACTGCATTTCTCGTATATAAAACAATAAAATTAATAGAAGGCAGCTCATGTACTTAGAATACTATTTATACCAGCTTCTTTGAAGCCGTTCAAAATTATCTCATGTTTGGCTTCAATACCGTTAAATAAGCGCACAAACCAAGAAGCGTAAATCGGTTTTAATCGTGATATTCGCAAGTCCACAGATACTTTTTCCTCTAGAAATTGAATCTCATTAGAATACCGCTCAATAAATTCATTCTTGAGCAAACGCTTGAACTCGCCATTTAGACGGGAACGGAGGAGACAAACGTTTCGGACAAAAGGAAGTTTATTAAAATGCTTTAGCAAAAGGTGCACTTTTAGAATTTTTCAACTATCTCAAGTTTACTTAGGTACTTTTGAAATTTTTCAATTTTCGGTTCTGTTCATATAAAATTCGCGAAATTTTCAGCTCATGAAATCACCGATATATTCATTGTCGCGAAAATTACGGCTCGCGAAAATAAGGGCCTTTACAGTAGTTAAAAATACTTTGCTTCTTTGTTTACCACAATTTCTCTTGCGTACCACCGGTTGAGAACTCCTGGTTTGTACATGTAAAACGCATACAGCATTTTTTGAAAACTTGATTTACGTCCAGCTTGGGCTGAAAATCTTTATTTGGTTTGCGACATTTATTTGGATTACGACTCAATATCGAAAAGTTACTATTGGACGCATTACATTTGTTTATTTTTTTGAGATTATGCCTCGAGACTGCCCATGAAAGTCAGTACGCCTGTTGCTATTATTCAGTAAGCAATCCACGTGATAACTCAGAGTTTTTCACATGATTTTGTGTTGTAATGTTTGTAAAAATTTTATAAATTCGTTGATAATAAATTTTAACAAAGATAATGTGAAGAGTTAAATGACGGAGAAAGGTCTAAGGTCACCATGGAGGTGAAAGAAATTGTTGGGAAGTCTGAAGATGGCATGCACATTCAGAGTATAGCTTTGCAATAGGGTATACCGAGAAAGACGTTGTCTGCGATTGTAAAAGATAAAAGCGCTACTAAACCGGCTAACGTAAGATGAGGGGGTTTTCAGTCTTTTATTATTGAACAGTGTTATACAATTGAATGGACAATGGAAATGGAAATGACAATGGGAATTTTTTAACAGATGGATCAATTATTTTCTTTGTTGGAAAATATCTTTTACTATTCATCCAATTTGATATATGTTATAACTACACAGGTATTTTGCATGCGCATTCAAATTTCTTTGCTAAATCGGAATACATAATCTGTCAAATTCTGCGTTTTAAAGTAATATACTCGAAACCGATATTAAATTTTATCTGCCACTAAAAACAAAATATGTTCGATTTCATATGCGTTGTTCAATGTCTTATCTAACTTATTTATGCGTATAAAATGTTATCAGTGTGTTTAATTAACAAGTTTACTGTTAAACCTCATCAAATTATTCACAATTTTACCATAAGACCCTTTCATAAAATATCAGTTCGAATTCGTTTTTATATTCTTTATATGCATACTTTTTATTCGAAATCAGAAAGGTAGCATAATATTTGCTACAGGAACATGCTATTTATTTATACGTTTTCTAAACACGGGAGTTTTTTATCACAGAATATATTTTCCGAATATTTTATAGATTTATAATATGTACCAGTGTCGTAAGAACGATACAGAAAAGCTTTCAAAAATTTAATAGCATTTTATATTTTACTGTAATAAATTTGTATTTGTTAAAATATGTTTTCATAAAAAATTATTTAATCCATTGTAATAGCATATTAATAAAATCTCTAACATATTAATGCATCAGACGTTTTCAACAATAAATAAACTTTCAGATTTAATATAAGATATAATTTATTTTCTGTGGTTTTTCATATTAACCTTCTTATTTCAATGCACTGTGATCTATCAAAAATTATTTTAGGTGGAAGCTAAATTTTACTGCATTTCATAATGTCAGATCCTCCAGCGACCGAGCGGTAAAGCCAGTAAGCATTCGAAACTCGTCAAAACTGGGTCAAAACGTGGACAATAACATCCTTCCCTAAGCAAATAGCTTTTGTGTACTCTAATCTAAGTAATTCAATCCAATGTACACTAATGGATAACGAAATCTCAAATGAAAAAAAAAAAAAAAAAAAAAGTTGAAAATAAAAAAAATCTGAAATTTTTCAGATTTTAAATTACGTCCAAAGGGGCGTTTTTTAACATTTTGTGTGTTACCTTTCTTTATTAAATATCATGTTCCTCGCACTTAAACCATAAGATCCAGTGCAACAGCAATATCGCAAAATAGTTTTAAAACGAGCATATCTTTAGAATTTCCGATACAGAGACTCACGCGCTGGAGATAAAAATGTTTTTTCCGCACAACGTTGCCATTGCTCGCTTTGAAATCCTTGAGTTTGTTAATCAAAAATTCGTCAAAGTTTTAAAAGATAGGAAATCGATCATAAAACAAATTTCAAATTTCAAATTTGGTCTTGCACATGCTCATATTCGTTGGAGGATTACGTTATTCAAAATTCGATGACTCTATGTACCGTTGTTT